CACTGCAGCTGGACGCAAACTCATTCTTAAAGAATGCCCGGTCTGGAGCAGGGATTAAGAAGAACCAATGTGTCTTCTTTGTTTTCTGAGAAAGTAGCCAAAGTCCAGAGAGGTTAATGACACATGTCTGAGTTCATATAGAAAGTCAACAATGAAAACAAGCTTCAGATCTAGAGATTTGGGCAGTGATGAAGCAAAGCAATGATCAAGGATGGTACTCATTGCACATATGCTGCTCTGTTAGCAGCTCCAGTAAACTTGTAAGACTATGATTCCCACAATTTTTTTCAGTAAAGTATAATATCTTTTCCCACTCTGCCTCCCACGCAGGGATATACGCCTATTTATGCAAATACTAAATAAAAATCTTCAGGAAATATATGAAATTTTTCTATCAACAAACATATTGATGGTATATTTCATGATGCAAGAGAAAAAAATGTGAAGTCTGCTCTATTTACCTTTTCAAAAAGGTACATTAATGTTTTACATATAAAAGCTACTCTAAATCCCATATGTATTTTTGTAAATTAAGTTTTTTTGAGACTGGAATATATTTATTCTTGGATTCTTTTACCCTAGTTACTATGTACAAAGAAGTAAATGTTGAATTTTTTTTTTTTTGGTTTTATAAAGCTATATGGCCTTCATTCATAAACTTCTACTTTGAAAACTTTGACTTTTGATAATTATAAATACTAGGAATGGCTATGATTTTTGCATTTGATTTCCAAGTGGGAGAACTGTAGTCATAGGCAAGAATTTTTCCTTTAAATTTGCCATAAAATGTAGGTGAAACTACCTAATACACTGCAGAAATACTAGCTTCTTTTACTTCTCTTAATTCTAATAACTCTAACAAGTTCTGAAACAGAGTATTCTCAGTTTTCACTTAGAATAAATCTAGACAGCAAAATGAGAAGGTGGAGAGAAAAGCGATTGTGGGGAGTGTGAAGGGCCTGTGAGCTGAGTCATGGGGAGAACCATAGTGCCAGGGATGGGTAAAATGTGTTAAAAGGCTGGACAGAATTATAAATAGAAATTCACTAAATGTACAGTATATACTGCACAGTCACACAACATTTTGTGATTTAGTTTTGTCTTGTGTTGGCCCTGATTCAGTCTTAACTGATATACTGTAAGGGGTGTGTGTGTGTGTGTGTGTGTGTGTGTGTGTGTGCGCGCGCGTGTGTATGTGGGCACTCACACATGTATAAAATATTTCATCACACTAAAAAGAGAACTGAATAATTTTTAATGAACCATTTCCTTCAGTACTCAGTTTATCTGCAATATTCACCTCTAACATATACATTTTCAATATTGTTGGAAAGACAGCATTTGATACTGATTGTGTTCTAGATAACATATTTGCTAGTAATAATACTTACTAAATGGAAAACCTTGGCATCTGTAAAATTCAAATGAAAAAAACTGTAGTAACAAGATTCTAGTAAAATGTAAGCTACCGTATTTTTACTCCTTGTGTTCAACATTGAAGTAACATACAATGCATACAAAGCTACGCCAATAACTTACATTTTATGTAAAATATTTGCTTGTTTGATTTTGGAGCACATTAAAGACAGCTTACATCTATGCCTTTCACATATATATATGGATTTTAAAATATTGTCAACTGACTAAAATTTAATGACAATATAAACAATATTCAGTCAGTTGGTTTTTCACGCTACTTTTTATGATTCCAGTCAAGGAGGACAATTTTTGCAGAAATATATCAATATCATTACTTTTTCTCAGACATGTTTATATCCTTTCTCTAGCCCATTTTCAACTGCAAAAAGAAAAGGCAGTCCCTGTAGAATACTTGCAAAACATCACACAGGAGTGGTAATGAAATGCAATCCAAACAGCCTTTCACCATGTGTACTGCATGAGCATCATTGCTGTCCCCAGTGTATTAAGTGAGCCTCCCCTCTAATAGGTGTGCTCATCCAGGTCGTCATATTCAATGACACACAGTGAACATCTAATTCCAACTTGGATATGCTCTAAATTTTATTATCTTAATTGGCACTTTCAGAAATGAGAAAATACAAGCTCTATACCTTACTGCATCTTCAAACTTCGGGTTTCAGAGGCTGGTTGACAGTTTCCCTACAGTTTTCTATCCTGCCATTCAAATATGTTAAGTCTCCAAAAGGCTAAGCTGGTATTCAGTTAAACTTTGTTTTTTTTTTCTGTTTTGTTAACTAAACAATTTGAACATTCCCCTTATTCAGATTGCATGTATCATGTTCTTAATAAGCAAAAATGACACATTCTTTGTTTCACTTTTTGCAGAACAAAATTTAACTTCCTGCCTAGTATTAATATCCTTAATTCATGGACAGTGTGTCACTATTGAAGATAGAGGAGGTAACAAAAAGTATTGGGAACATCTATTTTCTAGAGACTAAAAATTAGGAGGGATAGTTCCTTTGTTTAAATGAGTAAAACTATTCATTGAGAAGCCTTTTTTAAATAGCCATTTCCATATTCTCTTTAAATGCATCCACTATATTTTACTGTTGCTAAAATTTAAACATGTTAGTTAAAATCTTTGATTCTGACCCAGCCATTGCACTCCTATGTATAAGTCCACACAAAAATGGTTCCAGATTATTCACAGGGTCATTATTCACAATTGCCAAAATGTTTAAACAACCTAAATGTCCATCAACTAAAGAATGGATAAATAAAATGTAATATATCTAACATAATAAAATATTATTTGGCCATAAAAAGGAATGAAGTACTGATGCACATGACAATATGGCTAAACTTTGAAAACAGGATGCCAAGTGAGATACGCCAGTCGCACAAGACCACATATTGTATGATTCCATTTATATGAAACATCCAGATGATGCATACAGAAAGAAAGTAGATTAATGTTGCTCTAGGGAGGGGTTGAGGAGAAATGGGAAGTGACTGTGAACAGGTGCAGGTTTCATTTTGGGATGACAAATACGTTCTAAAATTAACAGTGCTGATGGTTACACAACTCTGTGAATATACTAAAAACATTGAACTGTACAATGGTGTAAGTATTATATCCTAATTATTCCACTCAAAAAAGCTGTTTAGAAAAAGATTTGGTTGAGAATTTCCCTTAAGTTTTTCCAATCTTTTCAACAATACACACATTCACAGTGGGTTTGCAATAGAAATTTCAAATAAGGGACAATATCTTTTCTGTGTGATTTATAAAACAAGGGTTATTTTGATGAAAATTGAGAAAGCGAGTCATTCATTTTGATTTCTAAGCACCCAGATGACTACCTGTTATGTGAGAATTCTGGGTAAAATAAAGCTAAGGAGACCTCTCCTGGTCATGATATTTGCACATTTCAGAGAGAATCTGCAGTGTTGTTTACTCTCTGTTGCCTTCCTAATCTGAAAACCTCTTCATACTGACTCTGGACTTTACTACAGAGGGTAACCTTTTGCAAGTTCAAAACCAAGGTCGTGTCCCTTCAGTTAAAAATCCAGACTTGAGGCATAAATCTTTCAGAAAAGATCCTTCCACACTTGCATCACCAAAGACTCTGACACATGTCACAATGAAGCAACTTTCATTAAGGTACAGCGTTGAATGTACCTTCATTTGATGGACTCTGAAAAATTGCTCTATCTTTCCCCATTCCCATGACAGCTGTCATCATGTCACAAATAGAGAAAAGTTGTTTTTTTTATTTTTATTTTTTAAAAAAAGTTCTCTTGCTTTCCTGAGAGTTGTCACCATTAGCAGCAACATAATATGCAATGTTACTAAGGGTAAATCAACAGTTTACAGGAAACTAGATAATGCATATATTAGAAGAGCCCGCATTTCACTTTCATAAGCCATAGGGTAAAAAATAAAGAAACAAACAATAGTATCTTTCATAATACTCCAGAACATTCCATACAGAGTAGGTCTGTTTTGTTTCCAGTACATACCTCAATTCCTAGATTCTGGAGAAAGCATCTGTTCTAGCCATAGTATTCAAAATATTTTACTTCACATATCTTTAAATAACTATCTGCAAGACTCAGATTCCAGGCAAAGATGTACCAGATCAATTTAGGACAGAAAGCAAAGATTTAGGGCATAAAATAGTGTAATACAAAACGAGATGCAAACTTTTCACTTGACAGGTGGATAGAGCTATCAATCTAGTACATTTTCTTTTCTGATTTCAAATAACAACACAGTGAGACAAAGATGAAAGAAAAGATACCCAAGAAAGAATTCCTCATTTAAGAAATCCCATGTGGGCTGAGTAAGAAATTCTAAATGGCCTTTATCCTTATTAATCAAGTGCTGTCTGCAGACCACCAAGGCTGACATCATATGGGAGCTAATTGAAAATTCAGAATCTCAAGTCCCACCCAGTCCAGCTGAATCAGAATCTGCATTTCCACACACTAATGTTTAAGAAGCACTGTCCAAACCATTTTTCTACTAGCATCACTACCTAATGTTTGGGTCTTAGGCCACTGAAATAATAAATTTCTTACTATTAATAGCCAATAAGTCAAATTAACCCAAGAAAAAATATGTAAAACAAGATAACAACACTGTATTGCAAAATTAATTGTAATCCAAAGTTCAAAATATCAGATTTCTCATGTGAGAGCTATGCTAAAGCCTTACTATTGATGTCAGGCTAAGAGATACCGTAAATCAATTGATATTTAAGACTACATCACTTGTTAGATTCTCAGTGGAAAAGGCAACCACCTTGTTAATACTGAGGATAGAGCTTTAACTTTAAAATACTACATCAATTTGAAGCACATTGCAACTTTGCATAAAAAGGCATGTTTCTAGAATATGGAAGTAAAGTATATTGTGCTGGTAGTAATATAATATCTTTCATATTAATTACACACACAGACACACACACACACACACACACATAAACTGCTTAGGCAGGCCACATGACATAAAATCAAATGATGTCAGTAGAGGATTTGCCTGCCTGATAATGGATACATAAACTCCTGAGTGCTGTGTGTTTAATTAAAAAGCAGAGTTAGAAGGTTATTGAGTCTGTAGGCTCCAAACAGTAATGATCATTCCTCTCATCTTTTTTTAGGATCACATGGGATCAGGACCACTTTACCAAAGCTTAGAGCCAACTCTCTTTAGTGATAAGCATGACTACTTGTGTGCCTCTGAATGATGTCAGATGCCTCCACAAATCACTCCACAGTGTTCAGCCCTCTCATAGCAGAAAAAAAAGACAAAGCTGTCACCTACTCTGTAAATTCCTTTAGCTGGCTACTTCAAAACTTAGGTAAACTCCTGAATTTCCAAAGAAATGTCCAAAGGGAGAGAAAAGTCAATAGACTTGGGAGAAAGAAATTACAAAACAGATAGACACTATATATTTTAGTGCCAATTTTCTTTTTACATGTTGAAATGAAAATAGTGCACTAACAGCTCCTTTGCACTTAGTTACTATAATATTTACTTCTAAATTATTATCTTTAATAGTAATAACACTTTGTGGTTACAAGACATCTTGTTTCAAAAAGCTCAAAATACATCTTCACGTATTCATTCAACTCTACTTAAGACCATGTCCTAGGGAGGGATGGTTGTACCCTTATCCAGAAGTTATAAATAAGTTTTAAAATAGTGTATTTGGTCAACTCCACCATTTAAGGCAGGAAGAAACAAGAACACTTGAGAAATGAGTGACTTATTGGGTGGGTAGAGGTCTACCCTCCTTCATAGAAACAAAATGAAGCAGAGGCCTACTTCAGTAACTGGATGGCCTGATTACAAACTCCTATTATCAAACAAATAAGAGTTTGCCTCAATTACTCAGCTATTCTAGGCCCACATAATTTTGAGTTCACAAAAATATCTGAAAAACTTTTGTTCATCCACTTCGTATGACCTATATGAGAGCAACTGAAATACCACAGGAGTACGTTCAGCTGGGAAAAACAGCCAACAGAGCTAGAAGTCGTGAAAATAGGGACAGGGCACCGCAGATCCCAAGGGCTGCCTGGAGAACATTTGCTTTCCTTTTTGCCACAGACATATATACCCTACTAGAATGCACATACTTTCATAAGGGTAGAACGTTTTTTTGTTCATATTGTTCATTTTCTATCCCTGAATTCTAGAACAAGCAGTATGAGGTAAATGGTAGGAATTTAATAATAATTTAAATGCATTAATAAATATAGGCCAGTGGTCCTGAAGATGGGCCCACCTGGTGATTCTGTCAGCTGCACTAGTAGCAGGATAAATGACTGTGCTTAAACAGCCCAGCACTGTGTTCCCTGTTCCTTTATCAGCTAGAATGTCTAAAATGTCTAGTGGAAAATCAAATAGAATTTAGGCTGTGACTTGTGGTTTTAAAAAAGTGTAAATTAGACCATTTTTCAGTCCTTTTCATCTGCTGATTTCCTCTACTTGCCCTTAATCAGTGAGTATCAAAAGATTTTTTTTTTTTTTTTTTAAAGGAAAAAAGGCCCAGGTATGGTGACTCATGTCTGTAATCCTAGCATTTTGGGAAGCCAAGGTAGGTAGATCACCTAAGGTCAGGAGTTTGAGACCAGCTTGGCCAACATTGTGAAACCCCATCTCTACTAAAAATACAAAAAATTAGCAGGGTGTGGTGTCAGGTGCTTATAATCCCAGCTACTCAGGAGATTGAGGCATGAGAATAGCTTGAGCCCAGGTGGCAGAGTTGCAGTGAACTAAGATCTTGTCACTGCACTCCAGCCTGGGCTACAGAGTGAGACTCCATTAAAACAAACAAATAAAAAAGAAGTAATCACCAACTACCAACTATCTTTTTCCGTGGTATTATAAATCACAAGTGGCAACTTTTGGGTCCCAATTGAAATAAAAATATTAAATACGGTAGTGAAATCAGTAACTATATAGTCTATTGACCTGAATTACTAAGGCATAACAAAATATATTTATTGAATTCTGTGTTATTAACTTCAGACTAATACTGGTAATAGATTTCTTAAATCCAATCTCTATAAACTGAAAATGAATGAAACATATTAGGATCTAAAAAAAAAGCCTTGTTGGAATCCTTATACGCTTTACCTCATTCTCCTCTTAGGTTCCTCTCTAAAAGAACACACGTTCCCTCTCTTAGGTAGAGTATATGTCACTTCATGTTGTGAATCCTCATGTTTTCTCCCCAACCAATAAGAGATCTCTCAAATAACTCACCATAGGAGTTGAAAACTGGATGTTATAAATTCGATAGATGTGTTTAGCTTTCACACATTTTAAAATAAACAGCAATATTCAAAATTTGTGAGGTATAGCAACACTGGACCCACAATCCTACATAGCAACAACATTTAGGAAGAACACTTATGCAGTGTTCTGAACAGACCCTGTGGACTCCCTATTGTCTAACAAATGGTCCCCCCTCATTCTTCGTGTTTTCAGCCTGGTTTCTGCATGTCTTTTGTTCTAGGTTCTCTGGCTCCCAAAAGAGTTCTAGCTACATGGTACAGAAACTGAAAAGAAATGTAAGAATGCCTTTCTTGCCAGGGAAGGGGACCCCATCTGCGGCTCTGGAAATTCTAGATTCCATCCCTAGTCAAACTACAAGAAGGCCACTCTGTCTTGGGTAAGCCTCTGGACCTACTTGTAGAGGAATAGACAAGACAATCTGTAGATCACTTCCAGGCCTAAAATTCCATAATTGAATGTCGCCATTTTCCTCATTGGCTAGGGTATCATCCCTATGAGGAAAGAAACCCCTCTTTTCTATCTCGTCTCAAAGAAGGAGGAAGTAAAAGTTGAGACATAGCAGGCATGAGGTCAGTGACCTGGAGGTTAAAGATTACACCCCTACCCACAACCCTTAATATCTCAGGGGATCTTAAGGGTGGGGAGATATGGAGAAATGCCCTCTATTGTTCCCATTCGATCTTGCCCAAACTCCCATGCTTAATTCATGGATCATGACCCCCTCACATGTACTTTCTAAAACTGTAAACCTAAGACCCTTTCACATGTAATATCTAGTTGTAAGCCTATATAAAGGCAGAGATTTCCTTTGTTAGGGGAGCTTGGCTTTTAGGCAACTATGCCACCTTGTTCCCAGCAGAATAAATCATCCCTTCCTTCCCAGTTTGGTATTGGAGAGGTCTGTTTCTGGTGGCCACTCTCGCTTCACTTAAACACACAGGAAACAACTTAGGGCAAGATCACTTGTGAGGAATGGCAGAAGAGGCTTTATCAGAATATGCCACTTTGGCAAAAGAATTATTTTGAGGTAAAGACACTTGAAACAGGGAGGGCGTGCTGATCTTCCCTTTTCATTATCAAAGCAGGAGATAAAACTTCCAAGTGAAAGATGTCTTCCCTAAACCAGGATAAAAGAAACATTCTTATTACCAGAGACAGAGCCAAAACCAAGGGAATTCCATACAAACAGATCCTGTTAAAATAATTCTGATTTTTCTTTAGTTGCCCCGTGTACTTTAGTTATTTTCTCACAGTTGCCTCTCTTTGTTTAACCTAATACAGAAGCACATAGCTTTTGCCACATCTTTGGGTCTTCATTTTCCTGTGGGGGCTCCCATGTAAATGTGAAAAATCGGCATGCTTTTCTCGTTAGTCTGTTTTATGCAGATTTTAGTCTCAGGCCCACAGGCAAAGTTTTACCTTCCCTATACTTCCATATCATCATCCTCACAAGTTCTGTTACATTCAAGAATCACTTCCAAAATTGCTTATCAAAACTTTTTTAAGTTTATCCATTTAGTCATGGGCTAAACAATTGTATCTGTAAAACTATGTGGTTTATTTACTAGTTACATATTTTTTATCTTTAACATATATATTAAAAATGTCTAAGCTGGGTGTGGTGGCTCATGCCTGTAATCCCAGCACTTTGGGAGGTCAAGGTGGGTGGATCATGAGGTCAGGAGATCAAGACCATCCCGGCCAACATGGTGAAACCCCATCTTTCCTAAAAATACAAAAGTAGCTGGGCATGGTGGTGTGTGGCTGTAATCCCAGGTACTCAGGAGGCTGAGGAAGGAGAATCACTTGAACCCGCGAGGCAAGGGTTGCAGTGAGCTAAGACTGTGCCACTGTATTCCAAACTGGACAACAGAGCAAGACTCTGTCTCAAAAAAATAAATGTTTATCTGAGTACTCTGAGGTTATCAAACATTCTGCCAAAGGTATTTATTTCATAATTTGAGAAAACTATATGATGCTCAAAGTTTACCCCAATAGATACTTTAAAGGAATTTTCAGAGCCTTAACCAGACTTTCAGACATATTCCTAATTTTATATTCCAGATTATTTTGAGACTGAAGACTGTCACGTACAACATCAAGAATGCTTCTCAAGTGAAGTAGTTCAGTCAATCACTTTACATGAACAGTCTGAGTATTATTCATGTGTTATAAAAATGATTTGGACAAATAATCCTATTATAACAAATGTATTATTTAGTCACAGCCCTTGATGAACATTAAAGGTTTGCAAAGATCTTAGCTTAGATGCGTACACACACACACACACACACACACACACACACACACACACGTTAACTTAAAAATCTCTTTTCCTTCTAATAATTTAGGTAAGAAAGTTTAAAAGAAAAATCATTTTTAAAGCTTTCATATCTCTTAAATGTACTCACATGCCACAAAAGGTACTTTCAACAAGAAATATAATACTACAAGAGAGGTTAACAACAGCAATCAACTGAATACCCTTGTGGATTCCTGCAGGGAGAGGTAGGGGAGGGGGGACTCTAGGGAGGGACTGTGTCATTCTAAATCTGTTGCTATTTTTCTCTCTAAGCACAAAGCCAGACAGCTGGATGGGAGTAGAAGTCACACACTTTAAATTACCAGATTCACACTTAACACACACATCATAAAGATGCCAGAGACCATGTTTGAACACATGATTTGTTCTCTTCTGAGAGATGGTGGTTGTTTTCACCCCTGGAGTCAAGGATTATGCCTGTGCCTGAGCAGCCTTACCCATCTGAAAGGAACACACATATGCAATGAATTCTAACCAGTGAGGAGGCAATTTTCTTGCAAATGACTGTGTTTAATTAGTAGTATGACTCACTGAGTCCATGTCTTGCAGACAAGGTTATTTATCCAAATGCTTGGGAGACCTATACATGCTACTCTGGACACAATGCTTAGTAAAGGAAAAGTGAAGTGAAATGATTTCAAGAAGTCATTCAGTATTGCATGGTATTATATCCTACAGTAAGAACTTATTTACTTTCTGAAAGGTTCAAGTGATTTAATTAAGTCAATCTTCTGAAATTCAGTCTTCTCACACCATCTCCTAGGACTATTTGGGGTAATACAGATACATGGAGTAGAGGAGTGGTAGATCAGAAATGCAAACATTGGGAGAAGGATCAAGGTAGTTTACTAACAGCCTGTAAAAACTGCCATACAGTTTCCATAAACACTTATTTAACAATATGTACTGAATGAGATGGAACATCCCCATTAACTGCTCCAGAAACCCTCACTGAAATAAGACAAACTAACTCTGGTGACACAGTACCCACTTCATTTAAGATAATTACATTTTTAAGGTGTGTCAGCCAGCAGAGTCAAATCCACTAGTGCTCCTTTTTCTCTTTATCTCTTCACTGATCCAACTTTCTTAATCATTTCACAGTAACTTAGCAATACCTACGCCAAATATTTTTGAATTAGTCCCAATGCCCTTACATTTGATATATTTCACTCACTTACCACAATTTTCCATTGTAGAATGAAACCACAGCTCTTCTAACCACACTCTACTTCCTTATTTACATTGTTTTCGTTCTTTTTTTTTTTTTTTTTTTTTTTTTTTTTTTTTTGTTTTTGTTGCTTGCTTGCTGGCCCCCCAATCAATTTTCTATCCACTGATACAGGGTTTCCTTCAGGCAAGCTTTAAATCTGTCTCCTTTAGTCCCCTTTGCCAAATGTCTGACATAGTCAGCTTCTCTAAATTCTGTCGTATCTTCAAAATGTATAGCCCTGAATTTTAGATCTAACCATAGGAAACACTTTATTCCTTTGCAGCTCCTTCTGATGCATTCCTCTTCATTTTAAATCACCCCATTCGTCCCTTAAAACATAGAGAAATTTCACATGAAAATGCAAAAGGACCTACATTTTTGCTTTGGAATAGAGGTGAAGACATGAAGCCATGTACAAGACCTGGAGTCATGGCTGTGTCCCGTTTACAACTTTAATTTTTTAACTACACAATAAAACAGTCTGATAAGCCACTGGAGCTATTAACTAAGTTATACTGAATTGAACATCTCAATTCAACAGAGGTACTAGATTGAAAGCAAAAGCAATGTCCCTGAAGCTGCTTGGTAACTTCATAATCAAGGATTTGAGAGCCACAAATTATCAAACAATGTCTGTCAGTATTATATAGTTTGCATTGAAATAGATCATAAGTACAAAATCATTTTGGTCATAGACGGATGCACGACGATAAAACAAATTATTTCACATTACGGATTCTACTTACAACAGGCCTGCTGCCTAAAAAGCCAGGATATCTACTCAATTTTATGAGATTTGGAAAATTAGTTTTATACTCTGCATCAAAAAAATTTATATATATATATATATATATATATATGCATCAAATACAATCTGCAAGTTCAATAAGGAATAACATTAATATTCAAACTCCAGAATAGTAAGACACACAGAAACTTTCCAATAATAAAAATGGAGAGAAAAATGAATATTTCAACTAACATTTAAAAGCTGTCATAACACTACCCTGATATGAAATAAGATGAGCCCTTCCAAGCCATTACTGTCATCAAATGGCCACTTATCATCCATCCTGGAATACACTTGATGTTAAAAAATATTTATAAGTGTATATGTATTGTCAACTGTACAGTAAAATATTAGCCTGCAAATTTTTGTACCATTCCATCTATTTCATCTAATAGTGGAAGAAACAAAAAGGACTATAATACTTGTCCTACAAGTATACATTCTGAAATTAATTTAGCTTTTTTCAGTACTTGCAGTCAACATGCTCATATGAAGTGTATTCACAATTTGGTTTGAGTACATCAAGAAGCACTCTTTAGTGCTGGGGTAAGTAACCTCATCATCTGTTGTTTTCAACTAAAAGGACTTAACTAGTGATAAACAATCCTAAGATTAAAGGAAATGTATCACTAAAAAAAAAGCCATGAAATATTTTTCTTATGTTTCACAAAGTTGGTTACTTAAGTGGATGGGTATCTATTTGTTAATAAAATAATGTATGCATTTTATTTTCCATACTGTTTGAGAAGACAAGTTGTTATAGAAAAATCAGATCATTTGGTGAACTTACTTTCTCTTTTTAAAAACCAAGCTCTTTAATATCCTGTTACTTTGAAATGGGCTATCGTTAACTTGTTTTATTTTTAAATTAAATATTGTTAGCTTAATACATTAAGATGAATCTCTTACCTTAATCATCTTCAATTTAGAAGATAAATAATACTTTTACTTTAAAATTTAACACGGGCAATCTATACACACATACATACGCAACATAACTTTCAGGGTCCCTGATGCACATACATCCCTAAAACTAAGTAATTCTAATACATAACAGAGCAGTATATCATTTAAACTTCAACGAACTATCCTAAGAGAAAGTAACAAACACATTATGCAAATGAACAGACAATCCCAACCTTGTTTCTAAAGTCACACTTGACTTGAGGACAATTCACTGATGTAAAAGGGAGACAGCGTGGCAGAGGGAGAGGGGAACAGGGAACAGGACAGACAGAGAAGGACGTGGGTAGAAAGAGAAAGAGGAAGTGGGTAGTGGAAGATGGAGGGAAGGGAGGGAAGAAAAAGGGAGGAAGAAAGACAGAGAAATGAAAGAAGAAAAACTGAAAACATCCTAGTGAAATATTGTTTAAAATGACAGCTACATCACATATCACCCTGTCTCTAGGCAATTTGAAGGATGTGCTAAGAGTGAGTGACCAGTTAGAATGAGGTGTCATGAGTTCATAACTTTCTTAACCTAGAAAGGATCATAGAAATCATATTTCATTTTACTGGGGCATATTGAGGCACAGAGGGGTTAAGAAACTTGTTAGAATTGCAAAACATCTTAGAGGTTAACTCCAAGCTTCCACTGTTACTAGAGATAACCAATGGAGTATATACTTTATCAATGGATAATTAAGGCTTGCTAACATTTAAAATCATCCAAAATTATTAGAGTTATTAAATTCATTATTTTTCATCCAGCCATATTTACTTTTTTTTTTTTTTTTTTAATTATGACAGTTTCACTATATTACCCAAGCAGGCCTCAAACTCCTAGGCTCAACCTATCCTTCCACCTCAGCCTCCCTGGTAGCTGAGACTATAGAACTGTGTCACCATGCCCCAGCTCACAGTTACTCTTTAACTTGTCATCATGGAGACAGTTCACAGAACTGCATTCCTTGCTTCACATTGGCTGGTCTAAGATGTTAAAGACGGCTAGGGTACAATTTGTGTGCAGAGGTCCTGCTTCCAAATGCTGCTGGATGTTATAAAGTCTTCTTTGTGCTTAATCCAGCAGCTCTGGGGTCAAACAAAACAGTCTTCCACAGACCCAAAACAGAATTCAAGGGGACTTTACTCTCTGCTGATGTATCCCAATTTATGAAATTCTTTGCACTTTGCTCAACCCCAGGGCTTTCTAGGAACTAAAGAGTTAGTGTACTTGGCTAGCACAGAAATTGTTCACAAAGTTGTTGGGTAGAATTGTATGCATACAAATACATACAGCGATACACTATCTTAACATACAAAATTCAGGACTTTTTCTTTATTCTCTTTCATAGCACTTTAAATTTATTTTGAAGACCAATCAAATTGTTACAGCTTTAAAAGTACCTCTTACCAGGTATATGTAACACCCATTGGGCTTCCCAATCTGTCAAGAGACCACATATCCGAAACTAACCCCTGGAGCGTTCAATTCACTTTCCGGCAGATGAAGCACAAATACCTAGGGATACAGTGTCCCAATTTTATAAAATTGTCTAAACACCCCAAAAGTGATAGGAGCAAACTATAAATCTTGCAAATACCTCTCTCAGCTTTGTGGTGACTGACTACAAAAACGTTTAACATCGTAAGGTATGTGTTGAAATTTCTAAATATTTAAATGGAAAATAAAAAATCAAATTTAACTACATTGGGAAGATACTTCTCTACAGAAGGCAATAGTTTCTACTAATTACAAATAGAAGGGTTCAGGAAAAAAAGAAATTAAAACTCAAAAGAACCAGTATTTACTCAATCAGGTAGATAACAAATTAAGCATTTATTTAAGAAATAAATCACTGGGCCTTAACTAACCCAATTTCTGTTCTTACCACCCTCTTAGAGCAAGATCACATCTTACGCAAGATCATATACTTGTAGTAGTCAGAAAAACACTAACAATTATTTAAAAATATAGCTAAGGGTTCACCAGGAATCAACACTCACAAAAGTCAGTTCAGTTTTGTAAGAAGGCATGAAGCCAGCCTTTTGTTTAGGGAAAACAGAGCCATCATAACCACTTGCCATTATTTCAGATTTCATTATCAGACCTTTTCACATACTTACTTTTTATCAGGGAACCGATAACTTGGCAAAGACAGCCCTGGGACTCTTTGTTACTCAGAGGTACCAGAGTCCTTCTTTTGCTGCATCTCACCAGATGTTAAGCATTCTGCACTGGTTTGTGATCATTTTCCCTCCAAATCTCAAGCTCTGAAAATGCCTGTGCTCATGTACACAACCATCTATTTTGAGTCTTCTCTCTCTTGCATGGTTCCTCTCAACCAAATCTAATGAGAACATACTCCGTCCTCACCAGTGAGACGCTTCTATAGTTCACAGTCTATGGTTTTTCTCTGCCTTGAGACTTACTGCCTATTCAGGGAAATTGTATTTCCCACTCTGGAAATTATGGGATCATCAGGCTTCAGGGTCTCAAGCTCAGTGTGGGAACTTCAATTCCCTTTTTCAGGTATTAATGATTTTAAGTTCACTTTGGTTTACATTAGCCCTGGCCATTGGTTCACATTGTTCAAGCCACTTTTAGTCAAATTCAATTTTTATAACAGCTCAATTGTTCTACTTTCAATCTAAAAAGAAAAGTATGATTTATATTTAGGTTAGGGAAAGAGAAAAATCCACAAATCCCTTTCCATGGTGATAACAATCTTTAATTTCACTAAGGCATTGATCATCTGAAGCCATCATGCAAACATTATTAACAATATTAAATTCTAATAGCATTTTTACAATGAATTTATCTTGCATGAATAACAGCTATTAATTTGATAGCTGGCATTGGGGGGATATATAAAAAGATAAATGAGCAAGATTTAAAGTGATTTTTTAAAATTCACATCACTTCTCAAAAAGTGGTGCATTCAAAAGCAATAAGGGGCTAAACACAGACTCTTTTTATATACTATCTCTTAAAAAAGGAGATATGCAGTTTATATTTGCAAATATTCCTAATAGTTATCCTGCCCAGCTCCTTGGCAAAGTTTCTAAACAGCATGCAACTGAAAAACAAGAGAAACTTTTCTGTTTCTGCATTTCTTAGTGGCAGCAGAGAACAGCAAAATAAACTATATTAAATTTAAATTCTGGAAATACAGATATACATTTCTTTTATATACACATGCATATACGATTATCTCTTTATATATGCATTAGTTTTACTTACATTTTTCTTGCAATGGCCAGAGGTACAGAAGAAGATAAATATATGCTCTAATCATCCTGGCACCAAAGAGAGTGCAACCACACTTCCAAATTAAAAACAAAGCCAATAATTTCTAACTTCTATAAAAGCATTCTGAAAGGCTCCTATTTCCTTATATGAATCAATTATATAAGAGATTAAACAGAAACAGCAGGCTCTAAACAGATTACACTCTATCTCACCAGCTTTATTCAACAAAGAGCAATGGAACAGAAAATCAAATGCGGCTTGCAAAGTCACATTCACATGGAGCTGTAGGGAGAAAGAGGGGGAAAAGCCTGGTACTTACAGACTGTAAAGTAAAATGTCCCAGTTTCGCTTTACATGTTACAGCAAATCAAACAGAGATTTCAGCTCTCAGCAAGTCCCTGCTTCCACTACACTGATCATCCACGCAGAACAGGCCCTTATGGATTGCTTAGGCAGCTGGGAGATAATGGGACCATATTCTCAGCTGGGACTAGAGATGCTGAACTGCCCTCCGCTGTGCGCTGCATGGCTCTCTGCCAGCATTAATCAAGGAGGACCCAGCTTCCTGGCTGTGTTCCCCAAAGGATCGACATAATTAGTGCACGAATCAAAGACGCACGCTGGGAGAATCACACACACATCTCTAACTGGCTCTCCTCACATCGAACCTGATTAGGAAATCAAGTTGATTCACTGATCAGATGTATTCAAGCTTTCAAAAATACAGAGACTCACACAGCTGTTTGCAGATTTTGGGGGAGGGGTGGAGATTAAGGCTTCTTTCCCAATGGGCAATTTATGTAATTCCTCAACTACAGAATATAATTACACTGGTTGTTCGGTACATATGGTGGATTTGCCCTATGATTTGGTTTGTCTGTTAGGGATTCTCAGCAGCCCCCAGAAAGGTTACAGGCAGTAGCACCATCTCTCCTACGGATTTTATGCGACCTGCACATATAAGTTCTTTTCACAGTCTCTGGGGAGACTGCCTGAACAGGGGTGTTTTATGTCCCCAAAGTTGTGCCTTTTCACTGCGTACTAGAAGTCCAGGGCATTCAAAGCAAGAGGGTTTGGCATGGCACACTCCAGACATCCAGTATTCTAAAAGAAACTGGTGATGTGGATCCTATTTGCATAACTGTAAGAACACTCTTCCTTACTCTGCATCGTGATGCAGTCAGGGTTTATAAACTGGTAGCCTGTGGATATGCTTGGTTTGGTAAGAGAGTGATTTGAGAATTTGAATGTTAACATTTTTAAACAGAACATATGTTCTGCACTTTATCAAAATGTTGCCACACATGCTTTTGCCCAGATATACTACCTGCTGGCCCCCAAAGACATTTATTTATGTAAATTTGACCCTGGTTAAGTAAGTCTGGGTTAAGGATGGAAAACATTCCATTTTAGAAAAAGGGAGACTCAGCTCCTGTGTCACTCATGAAAAGGCTGCGACTAAGGGACCCATGTGATCATTTAAAGTCTACCACAGGCAAAACAGCCAGTAGTTAAGGGGCCTGTATGATAAAGAAGGGAGAACATTGAGAGAGTCAGAAAGCTGAGTTCTAATCCTCATCTTGCTGCAAACAAACACATAAACAAATAAAAAACAGGTGGTCTAAACCTTTGTGAATCTCGGTTTTCTTATCTGCACAAGGGCTTTGCAGAAGACCTCTTAACACCCTTACAATGTGACATTCTATTATTGTCCTAAGATCTAGAAAATAGACTTTCATTAGAAAGGTGCTTACACTTCATAAAAGCAGTGGGGTAATGGGAAGGAAATACAGTCATGTTGACTGGCACAAATTTGGGGACAGGGGGTCTTTGTTACCTTTGGGGGCCAACGATCAACTGGCTACTAAGCAGCTGTTTCAGAAAACTTGAAACATCTGCTCTGTAAGTGTGAGTAAATTTTAAATGTGTGGGAAAAAGAAAAGACAACTTGGCCAGGAAATGGTCTTATCTAGTTGTACACAAACTGTGTCTGCCTCACAGTAAAACACCTGAGTGAAGAACCAAAAATCCAATCAGAATGTTTTGTCTTCATGGTGCCAATCGAAAGAGCTCTGGGATTGTATGGGGAAAGAGTCTTTATATTTAATGTGGATTTCTCCATCTTACTTTCTTCATTCCTACTATCCAAAGGTAGAGAAAGGCGAGGCTTCTCTTCAAATGTTCAGTTAAGTTATGTTTTGTGAATAAATGTGTATCATTGAGGTCAAGACCACCCAAACTGTGCTAGGGTTTTGATACTGGTCTTAGGAAATAAAAGCAAAAAGGATCAACACGATCATGATGCCTCACTCAACAGCTAGAAAAGTATCTCTCCCAAAGGATACATGATTCGGTAAAAGATGTGCGCTACCAAACCCTTCTGTGCTCACTATCAACTCAATTATCCCAAAACCAGACACATGGCCTCCAATAGATTCATTACCAATAGTTACTGGTAATGATACACAAAGTGGGGTACAGAGAAACAAGGCAATTATATATTTTTGAAATTTTACTAAACTTTTGAGTAATTTTGTGTTGGTGCAACATGTTTTTAAAGTATTTTCAATCTAATTTCTATAAGGTAATCTGCTTCTATTTTTCTTCAGGTATTTGTTACATTTGGCATAACTTGTAAAGTGACTGGCACAAATTTTGTGTTTGTGTTTTTTTTATCAGGCTCATTATTATTGAGACTTTTGCACATCTACTTCATGAAGCTCATGTGAGGTGCTGACAAAAATAGGTTAATTAAATAGCAATTGTGCATCTCAGCCATATTAGCAAACATATTGCTGAAGCAAATGAAAAGAGGAGCAAATTAAAATACTAAAATGTTTATTCACTGGTACAGCCTAAATAAATAGTTTAATTGGTTTTAAGTTCTATTCCATCCCTGTTTGCCTGGTAGTTACTTTGATTAATCTTTGATTATGGTATGTGATAGATTCATTTTGGCATTATGTGATTGGCACTTGTTTTTAATGGTAGGTGTTAATTACTAACTAAAAATTTCCAACTTCCATCAATTCTTCACACATTTCTCCCCAGAGGTATACCATTTAAAATGTAAAGTTTTTATATTAAAAACATAAATCTGGGACATGCCTAACTTTTTTTCATTTAAGGGCATGGCCAACATTAACGTCCAAATAAATATAACAAAGATAATGGAAAAAGAGACCAACATGACTAGTTACTACAAACAAAAGAAATGATCTTCTCAAAGAGAGTAAACCTGCTATTTTACTTCAGAATATATCTTAGAAGCCAAAATATATACAGAGATTGTTTTAGACTTCATATAGAAATAGCAAGAAATGATATCTCTTTGGAAATGTGAAGAGTCTGCAATTTTAACAACACTCTTGTCAAGGCTACTAAGAACCTGAGGGACAGGGCTCCTGAGGTCTCTTTCTGGCCCTTACACAAGATTCACCAAGTTAAATGTGGCTCTGAACCATAGCAAATCTAAGGGCAGAATGAAAGTTATGGGAACAATTCCCCAACATGTTGAGGCTTCATCAGTATTTTTAAATGCTTTGTAGTCTTCAGCCATAAGTCACCAGATGTGCATACAACTGCTCATTGCTCCTTCTTGAAAGTGTTTTCCTATTCCTTACATCTGTCACTAAAAGTCAGAGTCTAAAGCTGAGACAACTGTGACATTTCTCCAGCTGGGAACAAAATTTCAAAGGGGATGGTTCAGAAACTGCTGCCCAGGGCACCCACTGGAATGATAATCTATGCAGCAATGATTGGACCTTCTTTTCCAACCAAAAGCAGTGGAGCCAGTAATAAAATATTCAAGAAATAAGCCAAAAGTATGCATGCACATAAGAAAGTATGCGGCCATACTCATTTTCCAGGAGGTAATCAGAGTCTAATAACAGTGACCCACAGAGACCAGGGTCACGAAATTAAAGCAGTCTGTGGAGAAAATAGCTCACTTAAATAATTATGTCAATGTGACATCAAATTGACCTATGAGCTAGATAAAAGGGTACAATAAGCCTTGGTATTCATCTACCACTAACTGCTCAGAAATTTGTAGTCACTATTAGCAAAAAATATGTGTGTGTGTGTGTGTGTGTGTGTGTGTGTAGAGGGAGAAGGGGAGAGAGAGAGGGAGAGAGAGAAATAGAGAGAGAGGAAACACAAATTGTTTTATAAGTGGTACTTCTCATTTCTTTTGGGGATAGAACTGACTTACCCTTATTATAATGGCTAAAGAACACAAGCCAATTTTCTTTTTTCCTTTTGTTTTTTTGTTTGTTTGTTTGTTTGAGACAGAGTCTTGTTATGTTGCCCAGGCTGGAGTGCAGTGGCATGATCTTGGCTCACTGCAACTTCCACCTCCGGGGTTCAAGCGATTCTCCAGCCCCAGCCTCCCAAGTAGCTGGGACTACAGTATGTGCCACCACATCCAGCTAATTTTTGTATTTTTTAGTAGAGACGGTTTCACCATGTTGGCCAGGCTGCCCTCGAACTCCTGTCCTCAGGTGATCCATCCACCTCGGCCTCAGACTGCTGGGAGATTACAGGCATGAACCATCACACCTGGCTAACACAAGCCAATTTCTTTACCATCTAAGAAGAGAAAAAACTTTTTTTTTTTTTCCTCTCAGAAGACTCTGATTTTCCTTCCAACAAAAACAGTTTTAAAAAATCCCCTGATTTTAGGTTGTTACAACTTGGGGTAGGGGGTGCTACTGGCTGCTATCATCCTATGAAGCACAGGACAGCCCCCACAGCAAAGAATTATCTGGCTCAATATGTTAACAGTACTACGTTTAAGACAGCCTGACCCAAGGGAAGCATGATGGGGTTCCTATAATTGAAATACCTAAGAACTGAGTGCTGAGATTAAAATCCGACTAAATATAAACGTTGTTGCTCTAGATATAGCCGCAGTAGCTATACTAAACTGTTTTGCCTTGGCGGTTATTTTAGACGTTTCAGTATGCTTTCACAAAAATTACCATGTTCATCACAATGAACTAGTTCAAAAGCCAAGAATGTCCTATAATTCCAATTCTATCAGTGCAAAAACAAACATGGGCCTCGGAACAAAGGACTAGAGGCACGATCACTAAATAAAAACATCAAGCCCTTCTCCTTACTAGATTATGCCTCAGAAAACCAAATATCACTCCAAAAATTTAATCTCAGTCCAGCCTCTCTTGCCCTCCCTCTCCATTCTCCCACTTCAAAATGCACACAACTCATAGGCAGAGTGAGCTCCATGTGCTTCCACATATCTGTTTTCTTTCTATCTCCATGATTGTCCCTAAATAGATAGGCAACATTTTGCATGTTCCTCTAACAGGATTCTGATCTTACTCCTGAAACAGACACAGGTTTAATGCATAGTTGGGAAATGCAAACATGCTTCAATTCATGAACTTTCATTAGGAAATTCATTGTTAGACTGCTTTTGTTTACTTACTCATTCACAAATATTTATTGAGCACCTACTAAATTCACCGTCAATTTAAATTATTGGAGGAAGAAATTGAATCTCTCAGCATCTGCTTCCCTTATACACTTCTATGCATTTATATTGTATCCCCTACATCATTCTGTCTGGCTCAGAAAAACTTTACTGCATTTCTCATCATCCACTAAGGTCATTATTATTTATAATCGGCTTTTTCACTAATGTGGTGCTTCACGGACTCTTCGGCTCTGGTACTGAGCTTTTCTGTCGGCTCCAGGGAGTATAGGCGCTAGGTAGATGGCAGGGGCTTTTCATTTTATTCTTTGGCATCCCTTCCATCAACTACAAAAAGCCTTCTTCAGGCTTTTACATGAGGGGAGTCACAGCTAACCTTTGTTTCTTAAAGGGAAACTGTCTCCCCTTATATTCTGTGCAGATGGAACAAAATTGAGAAATAAGGTGTCCAAATGAGGAAAACTGGCAGAAACAAAGCTAAATCTAAAGTGTCCTATATTTGTTAAGATTACCATAGTGTTACATTAGAAAAAAAAAATGTGAGTGGCTGTTTAAAATGGGCAAAACCTGTCCTTACATATATTTTATGGAGTGAAAAGAGGAATAAGATGCCCGCCTTTCTTTCAACACGCTTTCAGAAAATGGGTTAATGTTTTTTCCCCAAAAGATTCCCAGATACAGAGGAAAGGCTTAATTTTAGAACACACATAAATCTGAGCGTAAGGCAGAGTTCAAGTTTCTCTTTAAGGAGAACTTTAAAAGCTCTTTTCAGGGAATCCTTTGCGCAAATTCATACCCTTCTACCTTCTTTTATCTATATGATGTAGTAACATTGCAAGCAAATGTCAAATATAGGGAAATCAACCTTTAATTCTGAGAATATTAAATGAATGTAATCTTGGTGACACAGTCACATAATCACATGTAATTTTAAAGTACATTGCCACCCTTATGCTAAAGGATATATTTGTTTAGGTCTTTGCAATTTTTAAACAGTTTGCGAATTTACAACAGGCTAATATAAAATAAAGCAAATGTATAAACTTTAAAACCATTGGCCGGGTGTGGTAGCTCATGCCTGTAATCCCAGCAATTTGGAAGCCCAAAGCAGGCGGATCATGAGGTCAAGAGATCGAGACCATCATGGCCAACATGGTGAAACCCTGTCTCTACTAACAATACAAAAATTAGCTGGGTGTGGTGGCGCGTGCCTGTAGTCCCAGCTACTAGGGAGCCTGAGGCAGGAGAATTGCTTGAACCCGGGAGGTGGAGGTTTCAGTGAGCTGAGATCGCACCACTGCACTCCAGCCTGGTGCCTGGTGACAGATGGAAACTCTTGTCTCAAAAACAAAAACAAAAACAAAAACAAAACTGTTGGGCAGGATTGGTTTAAAATAACACACAGAATATAATAACTTTGGATAAGACTATAGAACATTCCATTTGAACTTGATCATCTGGATTCCAATTTCCCCTCAATTGTTTTTGAAAAATTTCAAACTTACTGAAAATTTGAAAGAATGGCACAATGAATACCCATATGCTTTTGACCTAGAACCAATATAAACATTTTGATGTCTGCTTTCTGTTTTTACTCTCTGCCTCTGATCTTCCCTCCTTCCCTCTCTCACCGTAATACTCATTTTTAGAAAGTCAGTTGAGAGAAAATAGCAGACATGATGACACTTTGTCAGTGAATAATTCTCCTAAGAATACGCAAAATAAAGTTTCTCTAGAAAGACCACAACATTTATCTCCGTAACCACAATACAATGAACCAATTTAAGAAATTCAGCAATGCCACAAAACTATCATTTTACTACATGGTCTGTACTCAAATTTTCCAAATCGACCCAATAACATCCTTTACAGCTGGGTAGATTCTTGTTTTTATTTGTTTCCTATGTCTCTGACCCTAGATTTAATCAATATGCTTTTTTTGGTGGTACCTTCCTTTTGTGGAGAACAGTTCCCCAACCTTTTATTGCCCGTTATTACATTGACATTTTTAAGGAACTTGTACCCATTATTTTACAGAATGTAATTCAATTTGATTTTTTTTACTTGTTTTTCTGTAATTAATTCAAATTTTTGAAGAATACTACATAGAGGAGGAAAGGATGGTCAGTTTTTCCTGTTGTTGATGGTGTTCTTTATCACAATATTTCTTTGTTATTTAAATCAAAAGGTATCATTTTACTTTTTTAGCTGGTCAGTAATATTTGGAAGCTACTTTGAGATTGCATAGTTTTCTCTTACAGCATTTCACTCAGTAGTTTTAGCATATATTCATGAATATTGATTGAATCATTTTTATAATGGTTAGAAAATATCTGGATATTGTTAAACTTCAATAATCTGTATAATTAATTCATCTCTCAATTTCTTTCCTTAAAGGGTCCCAACCACTCACTCAACCCTCTCACTCAACATGGGAAGTGGTGACAACAGAGGCCATTCAGGAAACATTAGGCTTATGAAGTTTTCTGAGAAACAGAGGCCAAAGTCAACTAATCAAGCTATTCACAAAAGTTATATGGTCCAGAAAACATGAAGATGGCAGAAAAAATATGAACTTCACTTCCTTTGGAAAGGAAGAGGAAAACTGTCAGGATAAACCTGGAAAACAGACT